GCAACAGAACTGTATTTGCATTGTCTCTTGGAGTTCTTTGGGCTGAACCTGACAAGTCCTGCCTCAGGCACAAAGCCAGTTGGGTAACCTTGGGCCAGTTACTCTCTCTCAGCCCTAGGAAGGAGGCAATGGTAAACCACTTCTGAAATCTTGCCAAGAAAGCTACAGGGAGTCTTCCAGGGAGTCACCAGGAGTCAAGATTGACTTGAAGGCACCCTCCCCTCAAAAAAGAGGATGAATATGTTCTCTTCGCCTGACTATAGATGTCCATGTTGTGATTGTAGCAACAGTGAGAAAAAATGGAGCTCACAATATTTTGGGAGGATACTTGAACCTGCCATGTCTAATTATGTGTCTTGTAATGTTGCAAATCTCTTCGTGCCCCACTTCCCAAGATTTAAACTCTCCCTTCCTAACGTAAGAGACTTGTACCATGGAGAGCTCAAATCGTGAGAAGCGGGGCACGTAGAGAGAGCTGTGCAACCCACATTGCTGGCATCTGAGCCAGCTTCATTAATTCCACACAGATGGTTGGGCAGAGTTTCTTCTCCCATAGTAATTAATTAAACATAGTGTGCTCTTCCAACTGGTAGGAAGGCCTGGTTAACCAAGCCCGTGTTGGGGTCTGATAATATTCTGCTTTTCTTTGCGTTTTTCAGCCCAAACCTGTTGAAGTTCAAGTGATCAGTCATCACATGCAGCGCTATGCAGTCTGGTTTGGCGGATCGATGCTCGCATCCACGGTATGTCTTTTATGGAATCAGTTGGCCCCAGAAAAGCTGGCCGGCATCTGTTTGATTCCTATGCACAGAGATGGGCTTCTCTTTTAGCGTTCCCACCAGTGAATGAGCTCACTGTTCTTCCCACTGCTGGCTAGGCTTTCATCTTGCATTCAAAAGGTCAGTGTGCCAAGAGCTCCTTTTGTAGGCAAAATCCGAAAATAAACATTTGCATTTCTTCTTCTTGGTTAAAAAAAAAGGCAGTGACTTCTAAGGATATCTGATTAGATTTGCATCAATCCAAAGAACGTAGGTGACAAACTGGGATGACCTGCGTTTAAGGAGTAGCCCTAACCATCTGGAGTTGTCTGCAGTTGGCAATTGCTGCTTTCAGAGCCCAGCTCCCCTGCTTCCTTCTTCTTGCATCTTAGCTAACCGTTCAGTGTGCAGGATCGTTCTCATTGTACACTTTTTACACTTCTGTACTCAGTTCAGGAAAGCAAGAGGGGGAAATGCCACCAAAGTGCATGAAATCTGCCTGGTCTCTGATCTGGGACAGCCCTGGGCCAATTCTGAGGCCTCCAAGTTCAGAACCAGCTCTTTCTGGCAAAACCCTGCTGATAACATAAGGAAGGAAAAAAGAGCAAGTCAGGAAGAGCTTTTGCCAAATTATGAGGTCAGAGTGGATTTCAGCAAGTTTTCATCCATGTAATTGCTCTGAATAATAGCATAATGTCTGCTAGAAATGGAACAAAACCTTTATGTATTACTTTCTTTAAATTTCTGTTCCTTGTCCAAAGGGCTTATGGTAAAAAAAAAAAAATCTTAAACGCATGTGTACCTTTCTTTCAAAATAAACTGCCAATGTATCTTTGCCCTCTGCAGTAAATTCCACACTGCCTCTGCTGTTTCTAAGGGAGATGAATGCAACGTTGAAGGTGATCATGCAATGCCAATTTTTCTTCTGGAATGGCGCTCTCATCTTCTTGATTTGTATTTTTTCACACGCCGCTTCTGATCTGTCCTTATTTTTTTCTTCCTCAGCCAGAGTTCTTTGAAGTGTGTCACACCAAGAAAGACTACGAGGAATATGGTCCTAGCGTTTGCCGTCACAATCCAGTTTTTGGAATTATGTCCTGAGACTCACAGTGCAGTAGCATCTGCTCTGCGGTCTGATGGAGAACCTACTGGTGATAAGGAGAAAAAAGACTTGGTGCAAATACCAAAACCCAGCATGGTGTGGATCCTCCCCTGCTCAGAGTGTGCATTAGAGTCAGGAACGTCAAAGCAATGGACCGCCTAGAACTCAGTGAAGAGAAATGACTCATCTTGACTATTAAATTGTCCCCTTTCTTCAAGATTAGCTTCTAGTATACAAAATTTGCTTTTGCAGAAAGGGTGAAAGCAGGAACTGCCTAGAACAGTGTTTCTCAACTTTAGCAACTTTAAGATGTGTGGACTTCAAGTCCCAGAATTCCCCAGCCAGCATGGAATTCTGGGAGTTGTAGTCCACCCATCTTAAAGTTGCCAAGGTTGAGAAACAATGGCCTAGATAAACAGAGATCCAGAGAATAACCCAAAATGTGGTTGTGTTTCCAAATCCCTCCTGAATTTGATGTTGGTCTTCACCTTGCAATATAAGTGGGAAGGAGAAACTCCAGCCACTGTAAAATTGGGGCCTTGTTTCGTAAATAAATACCCTACCTTTGCGATATACAGAGGTTTTATTCTGAAAGTTTTATGCTCATGATTATGCTTGTGGTTGGTTTTTCTGGATAGATACAAGCATCACGACCCCCCTGCCATGGTGGAAATGACTCTGGGGTCTAGTTAAGGCCCATAAGTCTTCCCTGCCCACTAGTATAATTTGAGGATGTCAAGTGTGTTTTTAAAATGGCAATGCTTTTATTAGGCTGAACATGTTCTGCTTCTGGAATTACTTTGTAAGATTTATTATTGCTATTTATTTGATTTTTTTTGGTATTGTTTTAAAAATTGGGAATTGATTGCTTTTGGTGAAATAAAAACGGTTCATGTGTTTATACAGACAGCTCCCCTTCTTACATTCTATCTTGTTGAAGCCTTTTTTCCTCCTTTAAAATGTTCCATATTTTGCTATGGAATGGGGCTCATTTCTTAGTATGTTCCTGGGGAAGAGATAGTAGATTTGATCTCAATCATAACAATCATGAGCTTTTAATGTCAGTAAGAACCGAATGCAGTTGATTCAAGAGTCAACCCAATGTTGATTTTCTTAAAAATAGCAACTAAAATTATGGCTGGAAGACGCTCATTTTGCCAATGAATTTTGGCAGTATGATATAGAGATTGTCTGGGTGTTGCAGAAGAGGAGTGGATTGCCCACTCCTGCTGTGAGTGAACATTTGCTAGTGCTGCTTCACCACGTTTCTACAAACAGCAGCTTCGATGACCCAGTTCTTTTCCTCTGCTTAGCAACTTCTGCTAAAAGAGCCAGTTTGGTCTAGTGGTTGAAGGCGCCAGGCTAGAAAGCAGGAGACGGTGAGTTCTAGTCCTACTTTAGGCATGAAAGCCGGCTGGGTGAGTTTGGGCCAGTCGCTCTCTCTCAGCCCAACTCACCTCACAGGGTTTTTGTTGTGGGGAAAATAGGAGGAAGAAGGAGTGTTAGGTATGTTCTCCGCCTGGAGTTCTTTATAAAAATAATAAAGGCGGGATAAAAAATCTAAAAAAAAAAAAAAAGAATATGCCAGTCTCTGGTCTTAGGGAGTTCACAAACAGCTAGAATTTTTTGCTCCTCGTTTCTGTAGTGGAATCCATTTTGATTTTTTTTTTAAATACCAGGTTATAAGAGGACAACCATAACATATTCTATCAAATTCTTGCAATTGAGCTAGTTTGACACATCCATGATATCGTTGGACAAAATAACTGGATGCTGAGCAAATGTAATGTTGAATTATACTAAAATGCACTGAATATTTGAACATAGCCACTTCTTATCCCTTTAGTCAGTTTGGGGATTTTTCCTCCCAAGAATTGTTTTATTTCATTATAAGATGTGAATATTTCATTATAAAATACAGATATGAATTGGGTACAGTGATATTTATACAGTATAAGCTAGGAATGGTTGACACTGTGATGCTTTAGAGAAGTTAAACCTTTAGAGATAAGGAAAAAAGTTTATATCAATATTGAATATAATTTCTAAATGTTAATAAACCTAAGGTTGCTTGAATTGTACAATTAAAGCTGAGTGTAGCATTGATTGACAATTGCAACTGTTTACCACTGTGAGATCCCATCACTGGGTGAAGTGAACTGAATGCAGTGAAGATGAGTTGTGTAGCCTGTAGTTGTGAGGCCAGGAAACAGGAATAGGATGTGCATTAATGAGCAATGCGGAAGGATTGGATGAGTCAGCCAAAAATGTGTATGTAATGACTTTTGTTAACCATCCTGATTTGATGTTTTTAAAGAAATATCTGAACTATCTGAGCTATCCTCTAGGCTGCCACACTGGTAAATGTTTAATGACACTTGGGGTTCCTTGTGATAAATCTGAAGAACGTGGTGCGTATGTCTCACCGTCCAAGTTTCAATTAAATACAATTAGCAGAGCCTTGATGTGACTGGAAGTGCTGATCCTCCCGTAAATAATTCATTCTTTATGATCATGCTGTTCTCTCTCGTCTGGAAAAAGAACACAGGGGAGCCAAACAAGTGTCTGAAGGCACTAGAGCGAAAAGTTGGCTCAGAATCACCCAGGGGAGCATCGGAAGCAGGAATAAATAATCTGGTCCTTAATTGTCAACTGGAAAGCATTACACAACACCAGAGATTCTGTGAAACAAAGCTATGAACTCAGGCTCTGGAATATGGCTGTGAAAGGCCTATTTTGTTTAGGGCAGGGGTTTTCCACCTTTGGGGCCATATTGAATTGTGGGACTTTACCCCTCAACATTCTGGCGGGGGGTGTCGGGGGGGTGGATC